GATTTTAACCCAGAGGGTCTCCAGCCGTCCACCCTGGTTGCCAATATCGGCTTGTAGGGACCTTGCAGTTGCCTTGGGCCTGGCCCAATATTTGCACATCATGTGATTAAAAAAAAAAAAAAGATTTTAAGAAGTCACGCATTAATCAAAAGGGTAACAAAAGAGAAATAACTTTAGTCTCATGTGTTTGTTAATGATCTTCCATCTTCCTTCTGAAAACTTTGGAGCCCTGCTAAAAATGGACAGGAATTGTTAAAGGGAGAATATGAGACACTGAACTGGGCAGGCATTTGCAGGCTACATCTCCATAGCTGTGGGCCAGTGGAGTCAGTGTATTTAAGGGGAAAGATTGTGTTAGCAACCTTTTTCTGTGCATCGGACAGCACTTTGTATATGTTATGTTTCCCTTTTAAGTTGTTCTCTTGTCAGTTGCACTCCTGTTTTACAAGTTATTCTGTCCCGTTGTAAGCTTCCCTGAGTCTTTCTTGGGCAGCATATGACTGAATGAAGGATTGAACACAGCAATTTTCACTTTGTCCTATGTAGGAAGTGTTGGTTTTTTTCCCATAGGTCTTTCATGCAGTAGTAGTATAGCGAAAAACATTATTCTGAATTAAATAAACGGTAGGCTCCACTTAAATACGAATCCTTAAATTAGTTCTAACTCCTTTTAAACAAACAATTATAGTATAGTACCCAGTGTCCTTTTAACTTTAAATTATCAGAATTCATGCAACAACACTTAATTATCTCTTTCACATAACTCAGGCAAAAATAAAAAGCTATTAATTTATACATGCTTATTTCCTTTCTTTCAGCCATCATTCTTTCACTTCAGAGAATCAGGAGATAGGGTTAGAGCAGTGACTCAACCTTTTTAGACTCAAGTCAACCATTCAAAAATTTTCAAAATTTAGTGGCACCACATTAAAGGCTAAAATGTATTGCGCATATTATAATTCTATTATTAATTCATATATTAGTAGTTGATTAGGTTATTATAATTGTATTGTATTCACCCCATTATCACCACTGTTGCAGCCAGGTAAAACTGCTACGCACCTCCTGCAGAGCCATATCTGAAAGCAGCTGTGGCAGGAGCTTGTGCTCTTACTGCATCCCTTCCCAGCCCAGCCCTGCAGTGTTGCTCAGAGACAGAGGCACACAGGGCAGATGGAACTGTCCCATGCAACTCTCTTCAGGAGGTATGTCAGAGCCAAAGTGACAGTTGGCTGCAGCAGGAAGGCATGCAGACACGCTGCTGCTTCTTGGGCTCTTCCTGGTTCAGCACCATTGTACCTCCTGAAAATTGAGGCGTGAGGCACAGTTCTTCCTGGTGGCAGTGGCATCTTATCTCCAACCTGCTGCCACCATAGGGTGAAACTGCTTCACTCGCCTCTGTTTTCAGGAGACAAGCCAGAGTCGAACTGGGAACAGCTGCAGCAGGAAGGCATATTACACCATGCAGGCCAGCGTGCCTTTCTGTTGCAGACACTTGTCAGTTGGGCTGTAGCTTGCCTCCTGAAAATGGAGGTGCATGGAGCAATTTCACCCTGTGGTGGGTGCAGCAGTGCCAGCATTGTGGTACCCTTTGCAGGTTTTTGTAGCTCCATGTTTGGGAACCCCTGTGTTAGTTCCCAAATACCATCACTTAAATCATGTAGAGAGGTTATTAAAAATTGAGACAAGGAATAGTTGTCTTCAGGCATGTGAACAGTACTCCCAAATAATTTTGGCATAGCGAGAAAAAGACTGCATCAAAAAATCAAATGATAATGATTTCCCTGGTACTGATGCTTTTATAATTTTACAGAATACCCTGGCAGTGAAGAAAACATTGACATTTCCCAGGAGCCTTCTCCTCCAAAATCTGTCAACATGACAAGATACAATTCTTCAAATAAATCATATACCCAGCTAAGTACACCACCTCTACATGACTCTGATTGTGGGCATCATAAAGAGAGATTGAAAGTAAATGGTAAGACGGCTGTTGTTTGTGGATTTCATTTTATGTGCAAGTAGCAGTTAATGTGAGTAAAAGAAACCTGCCTGCTTGATTTCTCATAAATGTCCAGCTGCTGTCATAGGGAATGTCATCTGAATTGCATAGTATGAAAAACATTCCCAGGTGAAATCTTACATTAAGAGGTGCCAGGTGAAATCTTGCTGTTAAGAAGTGGCTATTTTCCTAGCTGTTGTTGTAAATGAGGGACAACTGTATTGCATTAATTAATCAAGTGGAACATTAGTGCCTCTGCCAGTTTTCCATAGGTTTCAGGTTTGGCTTCATAGTTGATAAGTTTCTACAGGTAGAACAGAAATTTGAGAATAAAGGACTCTCTGGTCTAGCAAGTAAAGTTATAAACATTGGCTCTAGGTTAGAGCTAGACAAAAGCTCAGAATATAAATCATAGAATCATAGAACATTTGGTTTGGAAGGGACCTCAGGAGGTCAGCTAGTCCACCCCCCTGCTGAAAGAGGACCATTCCCAAATAGATCATCCCTGCCAGGGCTTTGACTAGCCAGGTCTTAAAAGCCTCCAAGGATGGAGAGTCTTTCAAGAGGAGGTTAGATAAGCATCTAGCTGGGGTCATCTAGACCCAGCACTCTT